CCTATTAGGACAATAGACATGCATTCTTGGCTAATTCCCAAGCCATGCTTCAAGGACACTGAGGAATGACATGATAATGGCAGGATAAAGGAGAGTCTTGGCAGGTCCCTGATCGCCACATTTTAAATCTTTCTTTTCCCTCTTCTTCACCTGGTCAGAGGCCCTTGGATTTTAGTATGCTGTGGAATCAATTTCTCCTTTGGCTCACTTCTGTGTTATAACTCACGAGTTTGAGCTGTCTGCTTCTGAATTACAATCTAAATGAGAATTGCAGCTTTCTTATGGCTAAGTCCCATTTTCCTATGCTAAATTCCTGACAACCAATGATTCTTAAGAACTGTCTATCTTTTGACAGGCAGTATTTTTTTCTTATTAAAAAGAAACCCTGTTACTGTTCTATAATTATTTTGGTTGCATTTATCCCAACTCAGCCCAGCTTTCAGGCATAGATTTGCCCTCAAAGTAGCAGGAGTGTCAACAAACCATCAATAAACCTTGTTGTTCCATAGTGGCTTATGGAAAAAGAAGGGAAGGCTCCCAGCTCTTCCTGAAATACATTCAAAACAATATTGACTGAGTGCTAGCAAAGTATGCTTGCTTCTCTGGTGCACAGGAAGTTTATGTCTGACTTTGATTCCAAATGAGCACGCGCCATCAAATCCAGACATTCCAATCCACAGCAAGGTTCCAGTGGTTGGAGGGAACCAGAAGCACTTTGCTATTTTTTTTTTTTTAAGTTGCTAGAGATTCTCTTCTCCCGCCTAACTCCCTTCCACAGCTATGTAAGCTCACTAGAAATTCCCTGGTACTGTAATAAAAAAAAAGTAAGACTAGCTAACAATTGTGTAGTGTGTTAAGTGTAGAGAATGGGAGTAGGAAACTTCCTGCTATAGATTAACAGGTCTGATGGAGAGGTGTGCCCTCCCTTCTCCCAGGTCATACAGGAATGCACTCATCATCAGTACTCAGATTGATGGCTTTATTACCATAAATGTGTGCCACGTACTCAGAACCTGGGAGAAACAACATTGAGAAATAAAATGGTATATTGTGGAAACAGATGCTGAGTTAATGCCTTTTCTTGTTGTTGCTTTTTAACTGGACCGGTAAATCAGAATGCCATAGAATGCATCAGGATTTTCAACAAAGTCTTGACAGTTATACATGACATTTTAAAAGGTGAAATGATAAAGTGTGGGCAGAATGATAGCATCCTGTTTTCTGGTTGAACAACCATTCTGAAAGAGGACTGATGAATTGTTTGCTGGTCTGGATGCATTCTGTAAAGGGTTTGTCATAGAGCTTCGCATTTGGTCTAATCCAGTGAGAGAATCTGGCATCACTGGTTCTTAAGCTCCACGATGATGCAAATATATAAAGAAGAAAACCACTGGTATAGGATCCCTGGTGCACATGGTAAGACACATCCTTTTCATCATTAAGAGGTCTGTTGCTGATAGTTTCACAGATGCTTAAAACAAGGGCAGAGTGAGAACTTACAGTTCAACTCGTATAAAAGTTTAGAAAATCATACATTAAGAAAGGGTTCTAGCCACAGGGTGTAATAAAGACGTCAATTGGATGTTGCTGAGACATTTCCCAAATACCAAATTCCATCAAGACTCACTGACAAGAACAGCTCCATTATGTGTGAATGCAAAGTTAATAAAAAAGGCACTCTCTGGATGTTGAGAGAAAAAAAAAAAGCCAAAGAATGATTTTATGAAATTATTGTAATCCCTCATTTAGAATCAGGTCACTATAATCACAGGTTTTAAAAAAATATGTCTTCAATTAACAAAATCTGAGATGAGCAGAGCACCAACATTTGATTTGCATTGTCACAAAAAAAGTTCTATATTAACCCGAGTCAATTTGGCAAACAAAACAAGGCACTTTATTATTGGCGGCTTTGAAAAATATGTCCATGGGTCACAGAACAACATGCTCAAGGCCAATTATTTTGAGTGTAAAGACTTCAGGCAGTAGGGGATAGTTAAAAGCTTGTCTCCTCTCTGTCTCTGGAAGGGTACCAACCTCATAACATAAGTACAGTTAATAACTCTGTGACCTTTATGAGGCATTTCATGAGCAAGTTACGTTAATTAGTACTGAGCAATTCACATTTAAAAATTCCCAACCGCTATACAAGTAGACAAAAAATCAGTAATTCCTTGCAGCAGGAATGTTCAACAGGCAATATTCATAGACAATTTGCTCAATTGTAACTGACACAACAAAGACACAAAGCCACAGTTAAACACAGACAACCTTCAAATGTATTGTCCCAGACTTTCACTTTTCCTGTTCATGGTCATATGTACTGCACTGTCAGAACTCTCTACTTCTTGGGTGGACAGGTGTGTAGCCAAAGTGAAGGGGAAGTATTAGGATAAAGTGGGGAGTCCCACCTGCCTTCCTGAATGGGAAAAAGGCACTCTAAGGATTCTTTTTTCCTTCTCCTTTCCCACTCTATATTCCTATATAACCATGTGTGTGTGTGTTTCCTATAATTAGCCAGACACTCTAAGGCACTAGTTCATTCCTTTAGTAACCCCATAAGATAGATATTATCCCTACGGCACACAGCGAAAACAGACTTACAAATGTGACTTGCTGAAGGTTAAAGAGCTTGTATAAGGGTTAGGGAGCCAGGATGCAATGAAATCAACATGGATGGGATGTTTTCACATCACCATGCTACTGTCTAGCACTGTCTTCCTTCCGCTTCTTTCTTCCTCAAAGCCTAAAGTGGTGGACAGGTGGCGGTACTGAAAAATATTTTTAAAAGGGGAAGGCTAACCTTGTTGTCTTTCATACCTTTCCTGAAGCCCAGTGATTTTCTATTTTCCCATGTATGGGCCCATCACTAGGGTCCAAGAAAACACAAGCTTTTCCTTTCCAAGTTCCCCATGGTTTCAGTGATTGTCCACTTCTAGCCCCAAATAAGGACATATAACCTGAGACATTGTGCTTCCTTTCAGAGAACAAGAGTGCACCACATTTAAAATCAAAGTTAAAGTACTTGTGGCATCTGGCAGCTCAGAGAGGCTGAGGGCTGGCCTCACTACAGCCTTGTTCACTGATTCCTTGGAAGTTGGTCACACATGAGAGTAATGAGCAAAGTTAGAGCAAATCTTATCTGTGGAATTCAGCTGGGTGGTCTTCCCAAGGGCTCTTTTTTGTTATAATGTTGGCTTCCTCAATTTGGTGGTTTGTTAATCTGCAAATACTTGCTTAGATATACAGCTATGAGTTCCAAGAGACAAGTTGTTAATTATGAGTTCTAATCCCAGGCTAGAAGATGCCTACGAAGATTAAAACTTATTTCCTTGTTTTTCAACAACCGCCTAGCTCAAGAGCGATCAATTCTAATTGGGAAACTGAAGAAGGCAATAAATGCGTTACTGAGACCCATTGCTTTACAGAGCCATTTGTTTAATCCTTAAATTCTGCAGGTTGTAAATTAGTCATTAGAAGGCAGAAAACAAACTAGCCATAATCCATTTAGTGCCTCCAAACTCCGAGGACCTGAAGGAGGAAATCCATGGAAACAAGAGGCTTAATGTGTTCTTTCACTGCTATGTCTTAATGGGCAAATGTGGTTAAATAATAAGGACAAACCCAAGTAATTACCCTGATGCGCTGGTCCACAGGTCAGGGGTAGGCTTGATTAAATTCATGGAGGGCTGACCCATAAATGGTGGGAAAATGCCCCTTCTCTTCCACTCAGCTAATCAATGCACACATCTCACTTCCAGATTGTTTCATGAGAGCGAGCAATAGCCCATAGCATTCATTAGGGCATTCATTCCTATCTCTTGTTTTTTTTTTAATCAATGTAGGGATTAGGACAAGAGGACAAGTACTCAAAAGGAGTTACAAGGAGGAGAGGATGAAGCTGTGTCTTCCATGCATGGAGAACGCAGCTCCCAAATGCAAACTGTTCAACTGCAAAAAGAACTAGACAATGAGCTTGGAGGCCCCTTTACATATATGCAGAAAAGCCACACATATTTGGCTTGAAAATTTATAAGTTTAACATGTAACAACTAAGGAAAATGGCTTGCATATATCAAGGGACAAATTCAATCTTAGGTCTAGTGCTAATGATATGCAAGATATCTCTGGCATTGACATGCTGCATGAGTTTTAAGAGTAGAATTAAATTTTTTTTCAAAAATGTGATCACACACACACACACACACACACACACTCACACTCACCCTCACCCATGGTTCCTGGCTCACCCTTAAGCTACAGAAAGTGGAAGAGCTCACTTCAGAACTGAGCTAGTATCTCTTTCACACTCCTTTGCCTCTCCCTCTCATGATCAACAGGCACTGAGTAAAGATGGTGGCATTAGGCCATGGAATGGAGTTCTTCTCTTTGTGGAGGTAACCGGATGGTATAAGGATCTAACTTGTGACTCTGAAGTAGAAACTTAGTTACCAACACAAACTAGTTTCATTCATTTTCTGCTTGACAGCCTAATTAAGTTTTGTGATTTCACCAGGCTGGCTCTGTGTCTATCTTGTGTTCCATTCAATAGCCACCAAAATGTTGTTGCTCAATAAATCATTACTGATAATGAAATAAAATCTAATTTACAAAAATTATAGCTGTTCTGGAAAGACATTTATTTACTTTGTTAAAGCAATTACAAAGCAAGTGTTTCCTAGATAGATCATTTAACCATGACATTTATAAAAATATGTTTTCCTACAGCTTGTTTTTTTAAAAAGCTACATTCTTTTAAACAGTAGGAAATCACACCACAGAATTTAAAGATACGTGCCATTAGAAATACTGATCAGAACAATTGAGAAAACTTTTGAGATATATTGAGATAAACTGAAAAAAAAGTCAAAAGAACTGTGGAAATTGTAACTGGCAGTGTTTAATGCACTTGCTCCAGGGAAGAGCCCATTGGAACCTTTCTTAGCAGAGGCCTTTTCGCTTCCCTGGGGATGAAGTACCTGAGTTTCCTTTTGACTTACCCTGAGTGGATTTTCATTAAGGTAAGGGGGTTCACCTTCCACCATCTCGATTGCCATAATTCCCAGTGACCAGATATCAACCTTCGGGCCGTAGGCTTTTCTCGTCACCACCTCAGGGGCCATCCAGTAGGGCGTGCCCACCATAGTGCTTCGTTTACTTTGCTCAGGGGTGATTTGAGCACAGAAACCAAAATCAGCTATAGAGAAGAAAAATGAGTGATGATCCTCTTAAGTTCTTTTTCCTTTACAAAACTTGCATGCAGACATGGCTCTACCGTCCTAACTGCACATCTCATATGCTTTTGTTAATGGATGGCCCAGCTGGTCCTAATTTTGAAAGGATCTGAAACAACTGATATGATGTCATTTTGACCAGACCTTCATTTGTTTCTCCCCTCATTATGGTCCCTGCCAACTTTCAGGATTTTTCAGTTTCCTAATTAGGTACATATCTTCAGCAGATGAAGGTCACTAGAAAATCTGAAACATTAAATCCAAAACTCTGGTCATGAACTGAAGGATCACAGAGTCAGAAACATTCCTGACTTCAGACTGGGCTCTAAATGCTTTCAAATCAATCACATTCAGTCATCATTATTTTGTCAAGATAGACCATGGCACAGGAGAATATCCCCAATACTCCCTCAAAACACCATCTGAAATCAAAATACCTACTCAATTTAACAGAGCCATCCATCCCAAGGAGTATATTGTCACTCTTTATGTCTCTATGGATCACTTGGTTTGAGTGTAAGAAATCCAAAGCTTGCAGGCACTATTTAAGCAGAAAAAAAAAAAAAAGCTCTAATTATATCACAAAGAATTAAAAACTTTTTGGTTTCTTTTCTACATAAACTTTAGGCAAGGGTATATATATATATATATATATATATATATATCATTGGGTGTTGGCAAGTGAAAAAGGATACTAAATGTAACACCATTTAAAATCACATCACATGGATGTCAGTGATGCTACATTATACATTGGAAGGTTCCTTAGTCAGATGAGGACATGAAATGTGTTAAGTAGCCCTGGGTTGTTCATGCGTACCAATTAACCATTCGCATAATTATACTTTGGCCAAGTTAGCTGGAGGCTATGGATCAGTTTGTTCTTTCAAAGATGTAGTAAGTTTCTGTGTGTATGGTATTATTTGATTTAGTACGTCTGGAGTGGAATACAGGAATATGTATTTAAAACAAGCTATTTCTGATGAACAGCCAGGTCTGGGAAACCCTTTCAGCTATGAAGTAACAATAGGTATTTGTTTGGCAACAGCTTTGTATGGCAACACTAAAAATTGGGTACCACAGAATTGGGCTTAAGTATTTCCCTGAACATTATGTTTGATTTATTATGTGAATATAAAATACTTGTGTTTCAAGTAGATATGTGTGTTTTGGGAAAAGGAAATGGGGATTAGAGGATAGTTAAGGAAAGAGGAAATTTAAGTGAATAGTTGAAGACGAAAAACAAGGAAAGATGATCTGGTGTTGTTTCCCTATCATTGGTTTTCAAGCTTCTGTGGGTCAGAGCTCCTACTTCCTGCCTACAGAAAACCTCAATCACAAGAACAGGGTCAGGGGTAATACCCAAGGTGAGACTCCAGTGAGGAATGCATTTAATACAGCAAGTAATTAATATAATAAAATATCTTTAGCTTGAAACTGTTATAGGAAAAAAGGCAGAAACACAGACTGATTGCTGGGCTACAGAGGATGTCTGCATTGTTCTATGTAACTTGCCTTCTAGATAATGATGGAATAATGATGTGGCCTGTACCTTACATGGCTCACATTGCACATTCAGGACAAAAGAACTCCCACATAAAACTTTCCACAAACCAGAAAGAAGTTCCCCTGTTTTCCAGGTTCACAGAGACAATAGCATGCAGGCGTAAACATGTTCTCCCATGAATAGCATGAGACTGAGAGAGGTCCACAGAAAGACAACCAAAATAAACAAAGCACTGGGGATGAAGATGCAGGGGGCAGGCTATTAGGTTAGGATTTAAACTGGATTTAGTCTCACCAATGTTTTTTCAGGAGGAAAGATGTACTGTTGTACCTTTGATGTAAACAACATTCTGAATAATCAGAGATTTTGAAAAACTGCCCATTTTGGTGTTCAGAGCCTCTAGAAATACTAATTTCTTACCTCTCTGCAGACAGCCGCTATCTGTCCTTCATCCATACAGGTCTCTGTTACCACATCAGTCAAAGAGCCACCAGCCAAGTATTCCATGACTACCCATAGTTCATCACCCACTAAGTAGCTACAACACGAAAAGAGAAAGATTTTTATTCAGACCTAAGGAAGTAGGGAGTCTCTGTTGAGAAGGCAAATTACTGTTAGTCTCTGCATTTGGCCATATCCTGCCAGAGGAAAATATCAATTATAGTTATAATTAGAAATTTCATTAGCATTAGTAGAGATATGAATGGAAAACTCAAAGGATCATCAGAGTTGACTGTACCATGGAGGAAGAAAAACAGCATAAAGACATCTGTTGATTGGTAGCTGTCAGTCATTCCATTATAAAACTAGTTTGAACGAACAGGGTCACTGGGTAGCTTTTTTTGACTAGCTCAAGCCATCATCTTGACTTTGTGGACTTAACTGGTCCCTGGTGTCTGCATTTATCTACCAAATATTTTGAAGCAGTCACTGAATCAAAGATACTCATGTTTGCAATTAAATTAATGTGCTGAAATCTCAGTTCTGACAGAAGTTAGTTGTGCCATGGCCATTATTTTCAAATAGCTACTGAGGGACATAACTCAAGTGTTCAAATTGGGGAGGAAGGTCACCAGAGCCCTAAGATTCAAGCAAATTCACACCATGTAGGGAGTCAGAAAGCACTTGAATCATATTATCAGGTTTTGCTTTCCTTTGTTCAGCAAGAGAGGGGAATTAAAGAAAATTGATCTCTGTGATTCCACCCTGACCTAATACCCACATCAATGCGAAGGAAGACTTTTCTGTCCAGTTGTGCTTAAAATGCTGTGTCTATAACTGGGAAGTTTATTTAAAATGAAAATCCACAGATTCCATCTTAATAGTTATGCAGAGCAGCCTAGAAATTGGTATATGTATATATACATATATATACATGTATATAGTATACTATAGATATACTATATACTATATGTATGTGTGTGTATGTATGTATATATATATATATATATATATATATATATATATATAGTATGCTTTATCTAGTATACTATATATACTTTACAAAATTACAAGAACAGATAGATCCCAGTTCACTCTCTTGTACTCTATTGCAGTTAAGGCTACGATACTTTATGAAACACTAAGTTCAACTGTGAAATCTGACCCTCCTTCCCTCAGCCCTTTCCTCCTACTTGTGTAATCCTGGCCTACCTGGAACAAAACACAGAAAGCAAGACCTTAAGTTGACTGAGGTCGTATACATAGTCTTACTTCTTTTGAACTCTTCCCCCACCCCAGTACACAGCACAGTGGTGCTAAACAAACACTTACTGCTATTGAATGACACAGATGTTAGCTTCAGTGAAGAGTTAGTGCTGTCTTTAAATGCCTATTTATAACCCTCTGCTAATACTAGCGATGAAAGAGACATTAATTATCTGGTCTACGAAAAAGGTTTGAGATTAAAGTCTCAATCCCTAGCTAGGCCTTACTGTCAGCTAATCACAAAGCACCCATTAAAGCAAGGCCATTGTAGCCAGCCTTCTTCATTAGACACCTAGAGACTGTGCTGGCTCCCAGCACACACTTGAAACTTAAAACACTGCCACTGTCTCCTGCAAGTGTTTGTGTTTCCTGCCAAAACAGAGTCAGGATCCTCAAAAGGAAACCACTGAAACGGCTCACATTTAGAAATAGGTCTTCAAATGTCTGATAAGTAGAAGAAGGTAAGTGGGTATAAATTAGCAGTAGAAATAACTCTTCTGTACATTTAAGAAATTGCAGAACAGACATCAGATATCAAATAACTTGCCAAGAAAATGGTTTCCCCAAAAGAAAACAAATACACAATGAGAGAACACACTTACCTATCTAAATAATTAACAATATTGGGGTTCTTATTTTCCCTCATGACCAAAATTTCATTAATAATTAATTCCTTTTTGGGCTGCTGCTGAAGGTTCATCTGCTTTATGGCCACCTGAAAGATGGGAAGATGAGAATTAATTACAATAATTAGACTGAACACACACATATTATTTGGCTGATACAGTGAGGCCAACACTCTGACTAGCCTCTTTGAGTCACTAGTCCACCAAACCACAGCCTCTCAATTTGCTCAAACGTGAGTAAACCAGCCACTTTAGATATTTTGGACACCAATGAAGTAAATCCCCATGTCAGCACAGTGCTACCCATTTCTTTATGCATAGATGCCATCAAAGAGGAAAACTGATCAATGTGAATAAAAGAAAATTAAAATCAGGATTAAATGTTAGTACTTACTTCTTGTCCTGTTGCAATGTCAAGTGCTGTATAAACGGTACCTGATGCCCTGTGAAGGGGAAAATTATCAAATAGGTGAGCAATCAGTGTGATCAATAGACTGCATTATTTTCAGGGAAACACACCAACCCAAGATTAAAGGATGAAGTAAAAAAAAAAAAAAAGAGCAGCCACTTTATATAGTAATTGCACCTGCAACAATTAAAAAACATCTTTTGAGGGGCTAAGAACTCTGTCAAATTTTCCGGTGGTTGTGCATGTGGCCTGACTTCTTTTGGGAAATTCCTGGAATATTGCTTGGCATTGCAACAATCAATACTGATTATACTTAAGAAGACTATGTAACCTTTGGCTGAGGCAACTATAAATTAATCTTCATTTGTGGCCTCCACAGTGGCATTTTCACATATTTCCAATTCTTTTTTTTTTTCATATTTCCAATTCTTAAGAAAATCTTCATCTGACAAATCAGTCCTTTTAGTGATATGTCACCATAGGATGTAGTAACAATGTGGCTTTACTCTTGAGTCATCTTTTTTCTACTTTGCTAAATTTTTAAACAGTTGCTACGATCTTGGTGGCACTCACACTTGGTTCAATCACAGGGTCCCCTTGCATTGCAAACAGAAATTGGCTAGTAAAGCTAAATTCCCAGTCACTTTAGGTAAAACCCATGTACATTCTGAACTACCTTATCGGCCCCAACCCCAACCCCAAGAAAACAGACATAGTCAATTTCATCGAAATGTTTATAGTGAATAAAGGAATTAGGATAGAGATCTGTTCAAGCATTGCAATGCTCTAACACTGCTCTCTAAACGTCCTGATAATTGTCATTTTCCCCTTGCTATTTATCCTTTCTTGTTTTGTTTTTGGAGTCAAGAATTTCTTTCCTTTGGCCAGTCATTGCTTTGCAATTAAGTACTATTCTGCATCCTGGATGAGTCAAAATATTTCTCAGAGCAGAGGCCTACAAGTTTACAGTCCCCACTCCTAGTTAATAAAAAGGAATATCCGAGACTCCCTTAAACAGAGATAAGAGTTCCAATATTTGCCCTAACATCATTAATGTGACCTTAGGCTAGTCACTTCCCCCTTTGTGTTTCAGTCTCCTTACGGAAAACAGTGATTTCTATAATGGTAAGCATACATTGAGCATGCTGTGCCTATCAGACCCTGTCCTAGGAAGCTCTTACAAGTTAACCTTATGTAAGTACGTGCCGTACTTCCTTACAGGTGAAGGAACTGAGAATCAGAGAGTTAACTAACCTGCCTAAGGTTGTATAGTTTACTCAAGTCCATTTGACTGTCTGACCTGTGAAATATAGGAAATGGGCAACTTTATTTTATTTATTTATTTTTTTAAGATTTATTTATTTTTGCATACAGAACTGGGGTACAGGCCAGAGGCTCAGGGGTGGTGAGAGGCTTCACCAGAGACAGAGTGGGGAGCAGAACAGGCAGATCGAGGAAGTACACTGCTGAGGGGAGCAGCGGGCGGGTCAGGAGAGGTCTGCCACGCCATGTGGTCACCTCCGGGGCAGGCGGGAATCGAACTCATGCGGAAGCGGCTTTAGATTCTCAGTGCTGTGCTTTAACCTGCTGCGCCACCAGGGAGGGCCGGGCAACTTTATTTTTAAGGTGCTTCTATTCTATGATCTAGAATCTGCAAACTCTACAGCCCTTGTCATTCTGTGTGGGTATTTAAGTATCATCTGAAACTAGACTGAAAAATCACAGTCATTAGGTGTCACCTAACCCAGGATTTGGTAACTTCAGAAACTACTTAGGTTGAAGGCTAATATCAAACAAATAAGTCTCTCAATGTTGTATGCTTGATATTCTGGGTTTAGTACTCACCAAGTATTTGACGAATGAATAAGCTTATAGAAGTGTTTGCAAGCAAGCATGCAATTGCAAAAATACCTTTTCTTTCCTCTAGGCATCAGCTCTCAAACAGTCCTGATACCAGGAGCCTGTCTTTAACTCCTTCTTCTGAACTCATAATTGCCTGCGTTTAGAGGAATGGGTATCTTGGACTTAATGTGCTATTTCAGCGGTGTGAGCCCTGAGCAAATTACTAGCAGAATAAGATTCTTTGAAAGTATTTAGCCCTCTACCCAGATGAGAGGAAGCCCTAATGTGGTAATTGCTAGGATCATTTGTAGCTGTTTCTGCTGTTGGTTTCAGCAAAGATGACTGATTCACTGAGCAATTTATTTGGCCCCAGTCAATCTCCCATCCAAAATATTCTTACAGATTTCTGTCCCCATCTTTAAAAAGCTCAGGGTACTAGAACACTTTTTAGAGGTTTCATGTCTACTTTTCCTGGGTGAGGTAGTTTTTACCTCTTTCTTTGGGTTTTAGAATGCCTTCATTAAATGAAACTATATATAGAAATCCCCGACACAAAATGGAAACTGCTCCAGTTAGACCTAGGATGGAAGAGTCCCCAAATTCCTGCCCAGATGACTTTCCCCTTATTTGACACCTCTGCCCCCCACCTCCAAGCCCATTTCCACTGTCCTGGGGCAAACCCTGTGATTGACTTGGCAGGCAAGGAGGATTAGTGTTTAACATCTCCAGAGCTTTACCTTTCAAGTCCTTAGTTTTTCATGTCAGGCTCCTCGGCATTTCGTTGTCTTAAAATTGCTAGAGTCCTAACCTTGGAATCCCAATATCCTGGGTTTTATGGCACTCAGTGGTATAGAATTGCCACAAATCCCTAATCCACAGAGGTTTAAAGACCTTGAAACTCTAGAACATTGGTTATTAACTCAAAAATGAATTTTTCTCCTCACTTAATGAATGCATGCGATTGTTTAACGGGAGCCATTTCCCTCGCCACCACAACACTTGTTTCCATACTGAAAATATTGCTATCCTCCTACACTCGACTTTTTCCACCCCCACACTGTGTATTTAGACATTTGTAATTCAGTAAGTTAGTGGTTGTCCCAACTTCTACTATTGTTGGATCCTCAGCTCAAACACGCAAAATCAGGTACAAATAAGCATATTAAAATATGCATATCAAAATCCCTGCCTCTACCTCTATCTTAGCAATCTTTACAATGTCTCTGCACCCCAGTCCATTGCCTTTCCACATTCCAACAACTTAGGATTCAACTGGTATCTATGTAAATCTCTTTTCTGCTCTTATTCATCCTTTAAAAAAATACTTTCCCCAAAGATTGGTTAAGAACAGTAGTTCTTATCCCTCTGCTCCAGTCTCCCCCAGCTTCAAACCCCATCAGATCACTAGTTGTGAAATCCTGGCTAGGTACTTTTTTTTTTTTTTTTTAAAGATTTATTTATTTATTTGTGCATACAGAACTGGGGTACAGGCCAGAGGCTCAGGGGCGGTGAGAGGCTTCACCAGAGACAGAGTGGGGAGCAGAACAGGCAGATCTACGAAGTACACTGCTGAGGGGAGCAGCGGGCGGGTCAGGAGAGGTCTGGCTCGCCATGTGGTCTCCTCCGGGGCAGGCTGCAGGCGGGAATCGAACTCATGCAGAAGTGGCTTCAGATTCTCAGTACTGTGCTTTAACCCGCTGCGCCACCAGGGAGGGCCGGCTAGGTACTTTTTTAACCTCTCTGTAGTTCAGGATTAAAGAGTTAATCCTGACATTTACATTTATATAATATACATTGTATGTTTATTCAATAAATATTAGCCAAAACAGCAATTATTAGTTTCATTGTCCCCAAATACATTCATTACATTCCCAAATTGAAGTCTGTGAACCACTAGGAATCTTTTTTCAGTATCAGGGAGATTTCAAGAAAGTTTGATGCTTTGAATTCATGATAGAAGTTCATTGTTTACTTAAGATGAAACTAATTAAATATCACATATTTCCTTTCAGCTAGAATTACATCAACTTGTGATTACATTCTTTATCACGTAGATCAAAAGCCTGAAGCAGCAGTTACATATATTATCCTTAATAAAGTTTGAGAAATAAACTTTTGATAGCTTAATAGTTATTCATAACCTAGAGATCACAAAGGCAAGCAATTGGTGGGATCCTTGAAGGGGAAGTTGGGAGCATTCTCCCTGTAATAAGTGAAGCACAGTACACACTAATGTATATTCCCAAGAAACAGTATTTGTGCCCATAAGCTATCACACCGATTCCCCAAAGATGAGTTTTGCAATAGCCTGGGGTATGCTATAGCATCTCAGAAAAAACAATCAATTACTTTGATAGAAGAAGTCATTAATGCATAGCACTCTAGGACATAAGGATGCCAGAAATCACAGAAAAAAAATGATGGAAGTTATACTCCTAATTCTCTGGTATATTGGGGTGGGTGTGCTAAAATGGCCAACATTTTCAATATGATTTTTATGACACTTAATTAGAATGATTTCTATTATCCCTCCATTCAATCTATACTGAAGCTGGATTGCTGTCCAGAGAATAATTTATTTACAATAGATATTTTGTTTATTCCAAACTTCAACCCCTAAGATGGTATAAAGAAATCATGCATTATTCGGACTCAAGGGTAAAAGGGAGATATCCAGTTTAACCTTCATTTTACAGATGACAAATCTCAAACCCAGATATTAGGAGGGCTTTGCCCGAAATGATACAACTAGTAAGTAACGAAAGTCTCCTTTGAGCAAGATATCTTTCAGTTAATTTATACCATTGTTCAAGAAAATTAAAACAATAGATTGTTCAACCATTAGGCCTCATCATTAATTGCAGAGTGATGAGTATGGCAGGGTCCTTGACATCACATTGGATGCTTTCTCAACAGTTTCTTCCTGACCTGGCCAACCACTTAATACTCAAATGGAAACACTGGCATATAGCCCAAAGACTCTAGGAAGAAACAATTTGATATTTTTCCCTTTTACTCCCAAGACAAGTTAATTTAATTACCAGCCATCTTCATCAGTTTTTGAAATTTCCTATTAAGAATCTGTGTCGAGTCATTATCTAGAGTAGTTGCCAAAGCAGCAACTTATAATAAAGATAAATCATTCTTATTTCAGCAAAGAAATGGATTAGAGGAAGGAAAGAAGGGCAGGGT